ATAAAATATTTTTTAAAATATTATTTTTATTTTATGTGTATGCATGCATTGCCTGCATGTAGGGAAGTGCACCCGTGTCATGCAATGCCTGTGGAGGACAGAAGAGGCTGTTGGATCCCCTGGAACTAGAGTTACAGACAGTTGTGTGTGCTGGGATTCAAACCCGGGTCTTCTGCAAGAACAGTGTTCTTAACTGCTGAGCCATCTCTTCAGCCCCGCTAATAAAATATTTTTAAAAGCAAAATAAATAAATAAAATAGAGTGGGTTCAGCCATTCACTAGCTCTGTGACCTGGTACCTGCGCCTCCCTGATGAGATCCCCTGTGTACAATAGAGAATGCCTTTGTATCCACTTCACGAGTGGATGGAAGTCAAGCTCATGACAAAAAGGTGACATAGTGCCAAGAAGATGGTACCCAGTATAAGCCTTAGACAAAATTCTCTCTTTGTTACTAAGCCAGTCTGTTCCTTCGTTGGATATGCCTTTGGAAAGGACCCTCCCTCTGCCTCTGTCTTGTGCATTCATCTCTTCAAGTTCTTTGGCTGTAGACACTCTCTACTATGTCTTCCCATGAAACATTCTCTTTGTGAAATATTCTCTTTGTGTTCATTCAGTTAACACATCATTAAACTAACATTAAAATAGCACATGGTAAGGTTAGGGAGATGACGCAGTTGGTAAAGTGCTTTCTATACAAACCTGAGGACCCTGGGATCAGATCCCCAGCACAGAACATACCCCTTCTTGGACCCTCTTATGGGGCCTGGACACTTTAATGTCTCCGTTCATGCTGCTGAGTTGTCTTCCAGGAAGGCTGTCTCATGGACCCCAGTTGCAGGCCATGGCAGCGACTGCCCTGTCATCCAATGGTGTCTGAGTTGTTTCCTTCCTGTACAATGCAGTCGTCAGCATTCCCTTTCTCTCATTTCAGAGGGAAGTTTAGAAACTCTGGAACAAATCAACACTGTTCCACAGGGTGACACTGTCTGTGAAGGTTTGGGAATCTCTGTTATGTTTGATACTCTACCTTTGAGATCCTTGCTTAGATCTGGCCAGGGACCTTTGTGGAGCACCTTCTAGAAGAATCTAGGGATCTTTGCCTGCTTGTACATCAGTCAAATGGTTTCCAGGTTTGGGAAGCAGGTGGTTACTTTTCCAGGGGAGGCACCGGCAGACCATACTGGTGGGTGTGAACAGGGATGACAGAGGAGGGAGACCTGCTTTCTATTTTGTTGGAATTTATTAAAGATGTCTCCTAAAAATCAGCATTGGTACATTTAATCTTTAGCATGAATGTTAGCCTTATGGATTGTATCTTTCGATTGTTTTATTTAGTATCTAGTAAATACTACTTTGGTTACCTGCATGGCATTCCATAAAATGGAATATCCATTTCTTAACTAAACTATGAAAAGTAGACACAGGAACAGATTTCCTTTGATATCACAACAGAAATGATATCTGTTTTAAACCAGTAAGTCATTCCAATTAAATACAAGGACCAAGTTAAACTGTTTACCATCACTATGAACATACTTTTAATTATCGTTTAAATTTTTTTCCAGTCATTATGTTAGGCTCTTTACATAAATTGTTCTTAATTTTTGAAAATGACTTTACAAGGTGAATGTTTTCAGCATTTCATAGATGGTGCTATGACCCAGAATGGCCCAGTCATTCTGATAGCTAACATGTATCTGAGCTGCTATTTAAAACCAAGTCTTTTGACTGTAGAACCACTTGGTCTTTCACATATCCCAATTTCAGGTATTTGTAACTGAAATTTACCCACAGGGAGAGGCCAGAGAGCAGAGATTCTGAGGTGACTGCAAGTTGGAAGTTTATTGGCCAACAGTAGAGGTGCAAACCATCTCACCTCTTTTTACCTTGTGTCTTAATCTGTCTGAGGACAGCAATGTATGGTGTTTACTACTAGAAGCCACATCAAAGTGATGTTATGTAAAAACAGCCTGATTCCTAGGTCACAGAAGGAGCACACTCAGCGAGTTGTCTACATTATAAATAAGCTAAGATAAGGTTAACTTTTATAACCTTGGTTGCAAGGTTAGGTAAAAGTCACTTGTCCAGAGTCTGTCCACACTGTAAAAGTCTTTCCTTCAAAACTACCTTCCCAACTTTGTCAGCCAGGGTTTTGATTTTGGGGAGTTTTACTTTCTGCAAGTTGGATCGCAAAAGTAGTTGACAATTTTTTTTTCTAAAATACACTTCCTGGCCACCATTTTGCCTCACTAGACATTGCCTTTCAGTCGCCACACCCTTCTCCCTCTGAGTTGAAGGTGACTGGTCCAGAGAAGCTGTGGGCCTTTCAAAAGTTTCCAGATGATGGACGAGATCAGTTCCACTCTGCTGTTTCCTTTCCTCACAGGCAGGGTGAGGTGGTTGGCTTTAAAATGCTTTTAAAAACAAATGTATGGAGCACTAACTTAACAGGAAATAAATTTTAAAATTTCCACAATCTGCTGGATTACTTAGACCACCTTCTTTATATAAGAATTCTCAGTGTGATTTTAGTGGACAGTGTTGTCTCTGATAAAGGGTATCAGAGCTCAGTTTTAGCTACTTCCCCTGGGAGCCCTTTATTCTGGAGAATGTGAAGGGCTGGCTACTGTGGAAAACTTATTTTAGAACACAGTGACGTACATGTTCATCCTTGTGTCTTCTAACCATAGCCTTGACCTTCAGCTTTGGGACTCATTAGAAGCCACAAGTTTCAGCCTCCATTTCAGAACAGTGTGTAAATGTCTTATCAGAAGCCGATGACGCTAAGGATTGTTGAGGGTATCGTTGTTCATGCTGCCTAGCACTCACAAACCCAGTAATCTCCCTAGGGAAGGATTTTCCCTGTGTACTTTCTGATGCATGCATTACTTAAAAGACAAAGCAAGACCTGCAGTCCTCAAAACTTTGTGAATAAAACAGAGGGCCTGGTTTAAGATTTTTATTGGTACTGTCAAATTCTTCCTCAAGAGTTTTGAGTTCGGTGGTTCAAACTGACCTTCAAATGTGTTTATTAACACAGGGTCTTTGGACATCCTTGTGGGACAATGGTCACATGACTCCCTAGTTTCCGCAGAGTAAAATAGAGCAGTAACCACAGCAAGGGGGCACTGACAACTTCACTGGCCATTTCTTTTCTACTCAGAGGTCCTGGTGCCTGTTTTTATCCTCAGTTGTCTTTTTGAAATATGTCTTTATAGACTGCTGTGTTCCTTCTGCACCAGAAATGACTGAGCTAAGAAAGTGAACACAGTAGAAACCATCCCCAGGAACAAGAAGCAGAATCAGTGAAGCTGTTCATGAAATGGATTGAGTACGGGCACCGACACACAGAGCATGGGAAGGAGAAACTGTTTGACAGTGTGATTTCTTTGAAATCAAGGACAGTTAACACAGTTTTAGGAGCTTCCAAGAGTGTCTGGCTCATTAGAAATAATATTAACATTGATGCAAAGAAAAAATACTGGTGTGAAATCTTCTTTCTTTAAACGAGTATTTGTTCCTGAAACAGTGGTTATGCATAGCTGGATGCCTCAGCTTGGGCAACACCACCATAAACAGGAGGTTTTCTTTTTCAAAAAATTTACCTAGTTTTATGTTTTATGTGTATGAGTGCTTTGCCTGAATGTATATAAGTGCACCACATGTGTACAATGCCCGTGGAGGCCAGAAGATGACATCAGATCCCCTGGAACTAGAGTTACAGGCAGTTTTTAGCCACTATGTAGGTGCTAGGAACTGAACTCGGGTATTCTGCAAGAGCAGCCAGTGCTCTTAACCATCGAGCCATCTCTTCAACCCCTAGATAGGAAGTTTTCAATGCCTCAGACTTCATTGTCACCACCATGCACAGAGATTAAGCAAGGAACTGACAGTTGGGGCTTCTGAGTCCATACTAAATGTGGAGACCAGCATCACTTTGTGGGTAAAGGCAGATGTCATTAGGTGCTACCACAGAACAAATGACTCTTGGAACCTTGCCCCATTCTAGGTATTTGGTTGGTGTTAGCTGTGGCTGTCCCTCAAGCTCTCTCTGTTGCCATGATCCCTAGATATTCTGCCTGCCTCCAGGTGACCTGGAGACAGGAATTCCTTTGGAAAGTTGCAAAACTATGCTCATTCTTAACCTTTGATCGAACAATTAAGTTGGGAAGCAGTGCCCAGAGGTGAGAGATGGAGCTCAGAGAGCTGAAGCACATGACTGGTGGTGAGCAAAGTGGCCACAGCACTGGGTCCTTGGGCTCCCCTCCTTTGTGGGTGCTTTGGGACTATGTGACAGCTTTCTTGTTTGTTACTGTTTTTTTCTGTCCTTGATGAAACCTTTGGTTTCTGTTGACTTCTAGAAATGGCTTCAGACATACCTGGATCAGTGACCTTACCTGTTGCCCCCATGGCAGCCACTGGACAGGTGAGGATGGCAGGGGCCATGCCTGCCCGAGGAGGAAAGCGACGTTCCGGGTAAGCAGCCCCAGCGTTTCAAGGAACTGGATTAGTGCATGTTGAACAATGCTCTTGACCTGTTGGGAAAGTATTGGGTTTTTTTTTTCCTCCCTCCTGGAGGGTAAAACCTCAGCAGTTTGCATCCTGTTTAGATTTTGCAAGGCTCTTAAATACGCACATGATTTGCTTCTAAGTGTTCTGGGTCCTGGCACCCAGCTGGAGACTTCTATTTGCTTGTCCTTGTAGTGAGAGAATGCTGTGGGATCCTGCTAGACCCTGACTCAGGCTGGCTTTTCTAAGGGAGGAATCTCACCCTTAACCACCTGAGCATTCAAGCCACATTTGATGATTCAGGCCCCAGGAGCTGCAAATGATCTACCCCAGAGCTCTCTAGCCTTTCCTCCGAGTGTTTCCTAGTGATATACAGAAATTCTCCTGGCCAGGATCCAGCACCTCTTGAAGGCTGGGCAGCTGCAGCAGATGTTGCTTAGATAATTAAGAGAACAGACCTAAATTCTGTTGGTTATACTGGTTCTAATAGGCCACGAAAACCATCGCCCTTGAGCAGTTGGAACCAAAACCTGAATCTACCCATGCCGATTGATGTTAGCATCTACACCCAGAACTCCAAGCCAAACCAACCAAAGTCTTGCAGGAAAAATAAAACTGGCATTTTCCAACTCGGTATATTGCTCAACCCTTGTACCACTGATCCATTTCATTTTCACTGAAGTATTTATTAGGCAAGGTGTCTTACGAAGTTGTTCCGTTTCTGATCATACATGCTCCCCGAAGATTGCACCTATCCAGTGAGAAATGAACACACTTCCCACAACCCAAAACCTGCAGGCCAGGCCCATGATGAAATGGTCCAGCATTTTGTGCCTGAGAGTCTCCTGAGATTCTTAAACCACACAGAGGCAGGGAGAGGTGCATACCAGGATCTGGGATGGAGTAGGGCTAAGATGAAAAGGTGCAGTATTGTAATGTCAGCTTATGAAAAGTGCTGTTGTATACTGTGGCCTCTGGAGGAGGGTCTGAGAGTTGCATAGTCACTGCAAAAATCCAAAGGGCTGAGGAACCCAGCTCAGTAGTGAGGCCAGCCTCCCCTTGATCAGGCACTCTCTGAGGCAGCTGTCTTCTATTCGCCACTGCCAGCATATTCTCAGTGGGCACCACAGAACTGCAACAGCTAGTGGTGGTGCCTAGACTGGAATTCCTGTGATAACTTCTGGTAAAGACTGCAGTTTGCCTCTGGAGTGTCTGCCTGCATAGCAGCCTGTCATTAGAACCAGACTTTCTTGCTAACTGGCCTAAACTCTGCAGTCTGGCTGAAAGAATGTGTATACTGTTGAAATACCAACTTGCCAACTTATAAAAAGAATCAAGATTATTTCAGATGTTTATGTCCTAACTCACATTATTCAGAAAGAAATCCCATTGATGTCCACATCTGTTTTTCAGTAGAGACCAAGCCGGGACTCTGTAATGAATGCTCCGTTGGTCCCAAGTCCAAGTGAAGATCTTTGGCCCATCTCAGTGTGGCAAACCCAGGAGTTCTCCCTATCCTCAGATGAGGGTGGGAGGAACTGTGAATTTCTGCTTCTGCAGGGTCTGGCTGGTATGACCCCAGATGGCACTCTGTCTTTATCTACAGAGCCCAGACCCTGGCATGCAGACCCTACTTTCTGCATTGTACCCTGGGTGATTTGATCAAGGATTTAATACCATGTCTGAAAACTTCCTCACAGTTGTCCCTTTTTCTGTAATGTTACACACACACACACACACACACACACACACACACACACACACGCACACACGCACATACAACATACATAGCAGACTGGGTAGAGTGAGACTGAGCTTAGTGTTCAGTTCTGCTCTCTACTGAGGAAACACCATCAAGAAAGTAAGTGGATGGGACTGTAGAGGTAGCTCAGTGATTAAGAGCACTGGCTGCTCTTCCAGGACCTAGGTTGGGTTCCCAGCATCCATAAGGCAGCAGCCAACAGTCATCTGTACCTCCAGTTCCAGGGGATCCAAAGCCCTCTTCTGGCCTCCATGGACATTGCATGCATGTGTTGTACTTACATACATAATTTTTTTAATTTATAAAAAAGAGAGGAAGCAGAGATGAAGGAGGGTGGGCAGTGGCCTCTGACACCCTGCCCAAGGGTGAGACTGAGTCCCTGGAAGGGCAGAACAGTGAACTGGACCTTCCCCAGGGAGCCTGTCCACCTTTCCCTCCTTCTTAGGGTCCGTATGCCTGCCTGTCCCTTCTCCCTGACATATGGCAGGAAGAAGCCTCCATGACTTGGATTCCTTCTGGGTCTGAGCCAGGCAACATCCATTTTTTGCAGAGCTGTTTCCATAGTAATCCTTGCATCTGCATTTTTATATGTTCTGATGAAATTCTTCTGTCAAGGCCCCTGCTGCTGTGACACACCCTGATAATCATCCCTTCCACCATGAGATACTGAGCTGAGAGCAAAGGACACTGGGGAAAGCTGCATACATCAAAAGGCAGATTGTGCAGCTGGAGAGATGGCTCCATAGTTAGCAGCCCTCACTGCCCTTCCAGAGGACTTCCCAGCACTTATGTCAGGTGGCTCGCAACCACCTGTAACTCCAGCTCCAGGGGATCTGACACCATCTTCTGGACTCCATGGGTGCATGCACACACATGTGCACAAACACACACATAGACACATGAATAAAAATAGAACTTTTTAAAAGGCAGATAGCTCCTTCAGGGCCTTACACCATGACTGGCATCGACTGCTGATTCTAACTGCTCCTTCTGTCTAAGATTGTGGGACATGGAGAGACTCAGAGAGAGGGAAGTGGAAGACGATGAGGAAGATTAGCTCGAACTTGACCTCCCCAATGCACCCCTCCCTCAATCCTTGCCAGGTCTTCTGTCTCTGACCTGATGGTCATTCTCACAGAGGGCAGTGTGCCAGATAGGATACTCATGCATCCTGCTCTAGTGCTTCACAGACAAGTAGAACTGACCCCTTGAGGGCTGAGGATGCTCCTGGTCATTTGCCTGGTACAGTGCTGTGGGTCCTTCCTGACTGGGTTCTCTTCTCACTTCATGGCCAGCCTTCACCGTCAGAGTCTCATGAGGCCTCCTGGCAGCTAGGACACAAGGTGAAGGTTCAGAAGTTTCAGATTCTTTCCAAAGTGGCTCCACATGTGTGGGAGAAATGAGCTGAGGCGAGTCACCTGACATACATTCTTGTTCTGACCTCTCTAAGTTCAGTGAGGGGGACAGGCTCCAGCAGGGCAAACTCAGTCCTTCTAACTCTAGCGGGGAAAGCAGCAGTGATAAGTGAAGGGAAAAGCTGTGCTCACTTCAAAGCTAGCCACTGGGGATGCAGGGTGGAGGCTGCAGGCAGGGGCGGGCAGGGATGTATCAGCCCCCTTTGCAGCTCAGAGCTGGGCTTCTGTAACACAGTCATTGAGGGAAAACCCCAGTACTCAGAAGGCTGAGGCAGGAAGTTTCAAAGTTCAAGGCCAGCCTTGGCTACATAGTAAGCTGGCACACACCTTTAATCCCAGCACTTGGGAGGCAGAGGCAGGCAGATCTCTGTGAATTGGAGGCCAGCCTGGTCTCCATGGTGAATCCAGGCCAGCTGGGGCTACAGGGAGACCCTGTCTCAAAAAGACCAAAAAAAGAAAAAGAAAAAGAAAAAGACATACTTTTGTAAGTAGATGTTTCTCTGGTGAAACATGAAGTTCTGCTCTAGCAACAGTCATCAAGTCTGAGCTCTGAAGGGAGAGCATTTTCTGACACTGACACTTTGCTCTGTTCAGGGACCTGTCAGCTAGCCCAGGATTGCTCCTGTGCAGCCAGTTGGAACACTCCCACTGGCTTGTCCTCTTCTCTTTGCTGATTAGAGCAGAAGCGAATGCTGTGTGCTGACTCCTATCTGATACTGCGCCATTCTTCTTAAAACCTTCAGGGAGATTTTCTTAACTCACTCTTCACTAAGGGCATGCTCAGAAATGCCCATCCCTTTTTTATCCAGGCTCATTGACAGGAAAGTGGGGTCAAGTGGGCTTTCAACTCACCGTTTGAAGACTCTTGTATCACCCACTCACCATGCTGAGTTTGTTTAAGTAAATACAATATGGCTTAAAAGTATTTTGATTTCTCTTTTATTGTCCAGATGTCTCGGTATAATAGAGAAACATAAAAGACATAAAATAAAGGATGATTTACTTATACTTTTATAGCAGAAGAAATAAGCACAGCTTATTGTAGTTGTATCTAAAGCAGACAGTTGAACATGGTGGCAGAGGCTCAAAGGCACCATCTGGGCAAGTGTTGCTTTGAGGTCTTTTGTGTCACTGGGGGCACCAGTGTGTGTGTGTGTGTGTGTGTGTGTGGTGTGTTGTTGAGGAGCCAGTGAGACTGTTTGGGACAGGGTGATTGATATAAGAACTTGAACAATCATGTGGGGTCCTGATTTATCTCCTAGCCTGGTCCCACTTGAACCTGCTTGCTGCATGTATGTGATTTCATACACACTCACAGATGGGAGGCACAGTTTCACTCCATGCTGCGTGTGTGTGATTGCATGCACGCTCAGGTGGAAGGTACAGTTTCTTGGTCTTTCATTTTTCATAGACAAATCCTGGCTCCAAGTTCCCAGTAGATTTCAGTAAACTCCAGGTCCAGAGGCCATCCTTTTCTTATACCTTCTGTTTGCCTGGGCCCCAACTAACCTGGCTAAACTGGAACCCTTTACTACACAGATCAGTTGCCCATGTATCTGTTCTATGGGGGATCCTGTAAAGAAAAACTATCTATTAAAATGAGGATAACCAGCCTTTGTTTAAGATTAAATTTCAGCACTGAAGTCCTAGATCCCAAGAATTCCCATCTTTAGTTACACTAAATATTCTAAAGACCCACAGGCTCTGGAGTTAGAGCCTGACTAGTCAGTTGATCCAATCCTATCAAAGGCCATCAAGATGGCTCAAAGGGCAAAGGCACTGGCTACCAAGCCTGACTACCTAAATTAGATACTCAGGACTCAGTGGTGGATAGCCAAGGAGAAAGCCAACTTCCTCCGGTTGTTCTCTACCTCCACATGCAAGCACGCACACCCCGTGAATAAATATGTATAATAGAAAGGTTTTCAAAAAGAATGCTTGATATCAGCATTAGCTGAATGGTATTTTAAAGATAACTGAGCATCTCACACCCATTTGAGGTTTCGATAAATACTTACATAAGTCCTTTGGAATTTGAAAACTGAAACACTGAAATTCTGTGGGCAGAAAAATCTGCTCTTTCCCTTTAAAAGCACTAGGTGGCAGTGTGGCTCTGTGGCTTTGCAGACTACCCACCTCACTTAAATTTTTGGTGGTTCTTTCCCACATATAATTTCCAGAAATGTGAGATGATAGCTTAGTAGTTATGAGGAATATTGTTGAATTTGCCTCAGTTAGAATTCTTGCTTTCAGCTCCACTTGTCTCATAGACAACTCTACAGCCAATGCCTATCACTTAATTTCCCTAATAATGCTGGGGGAGGGGGCAACTCTCCACTGGTGGTATGTCTTTTACCTATTCTTTTACCTATTCTCTCTGTTCCTCTATCTTCTTGCCCACCTTCCCGTCTCTTTGCACAGAGGCATTTCTGTTTTCACAACCACCATCTTTCCTATCTCTTATTCTTAATATGAGGACAGCTGGCTTCTAAGGACCGTGGATCCAAGTAGGTGGGGGATCCCATCAGACGATTCCGAGCAAAATCATGTCAGATGAGAGCTCTGGCTGCACCATACTCAAAACAGGACAAAAACATGTGAAAACTGCCCTCCCTCCCTCCCTTCCTTCCTAGGTCCCCAAACTTACTGCAAAGCCTGGAAGTTACCATGTACCTCATTGGGGACCCTCTCAAGGATCGTGTACAAGGATGGCTCTTTTTCTGTGACTTGGATGCTTTGTTGTGGCCTGAGTGGCCTATGTGTTTCCTAGATCAACTTTTAGCTAGGCCATGAGAACCTAGGGACTGAGAGTTACCCTTCCTGTGAGGGATCGACAGCTCTGGAATCTTTAACTGTGGTCTTGTTGTGCACACACTCCATTCTTTGTTTTCTTAAATTTGCTTGTTTTAGTTTTTAAATTTAAAATTGTTTCTGTTGTTTGTTTTTGTTGTTGTTTGTTTTGTTTTTTGTGACAGGGTCTCCCTATAGCCCCAGCTGGCCTGGAACTTGCTATGTAGACCAGGCTGACCACAATCTCACAGAGATTCACCTACCTTTGCCTCTCATGTGCTGGGACTAAGGGTGTGTGCCACCACGCCTGGCTGTTTGTTTTTTGAGACTGGGTCTCACTGCGTAGCCCAGCACGCTCCACTCTCATAATGAGCTCTTCAAACACGGAGTTCCTAAGACCTAGCTCCCAGGCAGCTGGGCTTCCTCTGCTTGGATCATGGGAACAGTGCTCTAGCCAATCCTTTAGGCCCACTAAGAATAAACAGGACAGTGAAGTGTCTGCAGAAACCCCACACAGGAGCCCCACTCATCCTGGATGTCTCATTTGCTTTCTCAGATACTCTGGGTACGCTCAGTGCCAGTTAAGCCTCCTCTGTCCTAACATCTTCCTGGCTAGAGTTCACTGACATTGGAGAACTTGGATTTTTAAGAAGGAGCTTTTGGGATTTTAGTCAAACAAGAATCCATCGAATCATTGTTTAGTGTTTATATGGAGAGGCCCAGTGAAGGAGGGACCAGAAGAATGATTTGGTGAACTTCAACAAGCAGACAGCCAACTTGAATGATTTCAATTGCAAATAATCATTCCCTCCTACAGCCACTTGTTTGGTCCTGGGTATTACAGAACCATGGCCTCAAATGACCTTTGTGCCGAGGTTCATTGAGACCCACCAAGTCCCAAGCAGTATACCCAGGCATGTTCATGTTTCCTTGGTATCTTTACATCACCCTTCAAACTTCTTGTATTAACTCCTCCTGAGCAACATACTGTAAAATAAAAAGGAGGAAAAAAAGAAGAGTTAATGTGGAATACATGATGTGAAGGAGACCACTGACCCCAAAGATGGTGGGAAATAGAAATATAGATGTTTCCAACACGGCCTGAGCAATCTGTTAGTAACCTATGAAGCATTCTAGGGGGACAAGTTGGCACCTGAGCATCCTGACCATAGAATTAACAGTGCATACTGGAGACCTTTTGTTTGTATTTCTTTTTGTCTTGAAACTGTAGATACTGCTTAGCACTGCCAAAGGTTAGAGGAATTGGCTAGCGATCTGATCGCTGAAGATCCCTTTGTTTCCACAGCTCATGTTCCCATTTGCAGTGTTCTGAAACTTATAACCAGTGCTCACTTGTGACCTTGACTTTTCAGAATGGACTTCGATGATGAAGATGGTGAAGGTCCAAGTAAATTTTCAAGGTGAGTTTATTTTACCTTTCTTAAACCAGTAGCCAGCAGTCACCTGACTGGCATGTGGAGGGACTTAGTGTTGCTTGTCGTTGAACAAGCCATTGCTGGTGCTTTGACCCTCTTCTTTATGCCTTGTTTTGTGCCAGTATTTGGCCTAGTGGCAGGTAGCTATTAGCCATCCTGATTATCCCAAGCCTGGCACGGTGGCACATGCCTGAAAATTTCAGCGCCTGAGAGCTTGAGGCAAGAGGATGACAAGTTCAAGGTCAACCTGACATACATGGCAAGACCCTGTCTCAAAAAAAAAAATCTAGAAAATAAAGAAGTTGAGCAACTAGTTCTTAATCCTGTTTGCCTTTTAAGTTAAACAATGACTACCAATTTTAGTGGATTCTTTTTTAAGAGAGAAACTTAGAATTTGTTTATAAAAAAATTATCAGTATGAATCCTCTTTTTCTACTAAAAAATAAGGAAAAATACAAGAAATGTGGTAGCCTATACTGGATACAGAGCATAAAACTTGGTTTCAAGGCCCTCAAACTGTGCTATTGACTATGTGAACATCTTTAGCTGGCTCTGTGGGGCTGGCCTTGGTGTAGTGTACGTTGAAGAAAGGATTTTGGGTCCCCAATGCTGATAGTATTCTAAATGTAGCATGCAAACAAAATAAGGCAAACCAGCTCCATGGCTTCTGAGTCCCTTGGTTTCTTCTGTTTCAGGGTTTCTTCTGTTTAAGGTATTATGGGAAACTTAGCAATGCTGAGGGGAAGGTGCAGGTTATTCCAGTCCTTTCTCGTCATGCTTCCTGTCTGTACCATCTTCTTATGGAAAGGTCTTCCTTGATGGGCCCCTGTCACCCAGACCTCCTAGCCTTCCTGATTCTTGGTTGTTGACGAACTTGGAAACTTGTGACATGTGATAGCTGCCTTTATCCATGCTTCATGTTTGGACAGGCAGCCATGTTTGTTTGGAGCAGTTTTGAAAAGAGTGATGTCCACACTCCCACTGGACTGGCTGTCTGCTTTTTCCCTTGCAGTTGCGTTGGGTTCTTTTTATCCACACCAAAATGGTTGTAGCTGTGAATTGAGCACTTTTCTTTACAAATGCAGGATGGATACATGCCTTGTTACTTTCCAGGGATTGCCAGGATCTCCAAGCCTATAGTAAATGTTTGACCATCTCATAAACTTTCCTCCCTAGGAACAGGTTCATCTGTTTCCACACTTCAGCTTTGACTGAAGGAGTAGAGAGAAGATGAGAAATTTTTATCACTAATGACCTTGGGGTTTCTAATCAAAACAAGATACAAGCTTCAACAGCAAAGCATAGATCATTTCTTCTTATGCACATGGGACCCTATCTTGGATGTCCTGTTTCTTAGGATGTTCCTTGGAAGTGAGGAGTGTTTTGTTCCTGCAAAGGAGCTAGCCTCAGAAATAGGGCTTCTTTGCTTCCCACTAGAGCTTGCTCTTGCTGCACACAGCCTCCCTTTATAAAGAAGCAGTAACACTGAGTCCTCTACATCAGAATTCCCCTTGAGATAACATTCCATAGCATTGTTATCCTCAGGAAATGGTGATGCTGATGCTGGGGTTTCAGGACAGAGAGGAAAAGACCTGGAATGGCATTTGCTCGTCATTGTAGATGGGCTACAGCAGGGTTATACAAAGCCGTCAGCCCCAGTATGAGGAAGTGGAGACCCTATGCCGTATAACTCTCCAAGCCGGAATTCCCCTTGAGATAACATTCCATAGCATTGTTATCCTCAGGAAATGGTGATGCTGATGCTGGGGTTTCAGGACAGAGAGGAAAAGACCTGGAATGGCATTTGCTCGTCATTGTAGATGGGCTACAGCAGGGTTATACAAAGCTGTCAGCCCCAGTATGAGGAAGCGGAGACCCTATGCTGTATAACTCTCCAAGCCTGTCAGTGAGTCCCATGTTATAGTCAGGTTCAAACTCTGGCTTCTGTCAACCACATCTTTTCCTTTGTGCCTTAAAAATAAGAGAGATAGACTGTGCTTCCAACATGTGCTGTTACTTACAGGCTGAGCTCATGAAACCCAGGAGGCCACTGCCTCTGTTACAGTAGGGTGTTTGAAGAACTCATGGCTGATGTGGGCACATCTGAGCTGCTCAGAGCTGGGGAGATGACTGAGTCCATGCTCCATCTTCTACCCGGCCACCCGGAGGAAGGTGATAGCCAGCTTCAGATGTCTCCTTGACATGTCTTATTCCTCTGCTTGTAATAAATCTATAGAAGCCCATCAGGCAAGGCTTTGGAAGCCATGGAGGCTGAGGTGCAATCCAGTCCCCACCATAACTGATTGATTCAGAATCCAGGCAGATGCAGTGCCATGATCTCTATTCTCTGATGTAAGATGATGAGCATACCCAGCTTTTCTTAAGGATGGTCCTGAATCCATATGTTCTGCTTATCATCAGACCTTGTGTCTCAATTTTGGATTGGGGAAATGTGGCCCTATTCATCGGAATTTACTCATGGTTCCTGCCTTATGGCAGCTGACGGGGCAGGGTGGGAGGAAGTAGGTATCACAGCAGGGTGATAGACAGGAAGCTGTGCAGCACTGCCTGATTTCCACATGAGCATGCACATGCACACACTCACTCCAGTATTCCCCTTCCAAGGCCAGCAGTGATCTCAGCCTGCCTCACCACATCCTAGACCCTGACCTGTCTTCCACTAGTAGCTTGTTCTGCTTTTAGCTGTGGCATGAAGAACACATATTCAGTGTTTCTCTGTTTGGGGAAGTGATCAGTGGGGTAGAATCCAGCTTGTAGTAGATTGAGGACTAATTGGCAGATGAGGAAGTGAACCGGGGACACTTTGAGCCATTTGAATGTAGGTAAAAACAAAAGGGCGCCCAGGGAGGGAGTGCTTTTTATGAATGGGAAACCATTGGTGCACCTTCTTGGGGAGATGTGTGAGGACAGCCAGAGGTTTGGAAGATTGGGACCCCTGCAGCCAGATAATCTGGGAAAAGCAGGGGTAGCTCTAGGTTCCTCCAGAGGACCATTTGCTCTCTCAGACATAGAAAGAGATACAGACAAGCTAAGTATGAAGATGATGCCTGAGTGAGAAGTTGAGGGTATTGTATATCCTTAGTTGAGTAGGAAGTTAGGACATGCTAATAGATGGTCAAACAATTGATAGTGTGTTTGAGAGAAATTTGAGATGCTGCCCTTTAAATGTGAAGGAACCTACCCAAAGGAAAATAGGTAAAAGCTTTAGATCCCCCCTGAAATCATGGACTATGGCTATGGGGTGCCTCACATTACTGTGTGGTTTTCCTGCTCTTCTGGATCAAGGGCTGCAGACGTTTCACCATCTTGGGATTGGGCAATGCAACAGAGATGAAGAGATGAGGTTGTGGTAGTTGAGGTATCCTGGAGAGAACACTGAAGGGGTCAAGCTAGAAGTCCAGCTGCAGAGACAATCAAGGGAAGTGGAGACGAAGAGATGATGCAAGAGACTAGAGGGGGCCAGAGACTGTGGTTACAGTTACAGAATAGCTTTTGTTTGGTGGGAGTCTGAGAGGGCTGGAGAAGTGGCAATCTGTGGTACAGTAGTGAGAATTGACAAGCATGGGTGAGGGCTGGTGGACAAGGAGAAAGTCCTGAGGAAACAGAAAGTGCATTCTGTCTCATGCTGAGGCTGCTGGGAGCTGGGTATCTGTGTGGGTGCCCTGGGGACAATGGCAAAGAACCTTTAAGATGGTAGACATGGGACATGAGCTTCAGAAGAGGAGCCCTCTTTGCTTGAGGAGTTGAGGAATGGAGATATAGAGTTGACTTCCTTTCCCAGCTTGGCCCAAAGAAGCAGCCTCCATAGCCTGGCACTAGACTTGGCTTTCAAGCTCTCTTAGAATTCCACTGTCAAGTCACAGGCCCTAACAACAGACAGAGATGAACTCTGTCTCCAGAAAATCAGATTATATACCAGAGAAGAAAGACAAATCTCCCTGGAGGATACCAGGTCATGGTGCCACCCCTCCCAGAGGATCAGCATGGCCCTGTCTACCCAGGAGGTAGACACCCATCCTGTGAGCACAGCCAGCCTACAAGCTTGTACTCATGGCAAGTCCCAGGCCTTGTCACAATACTAGACAACCCAGGGAGGCTTCCTACTTCAATAATCTGGGATGTTTCTGTTGCTGCAGCTGGGGTCAGCTGTCACCAGTTGGCAATGCCATTTTGAGTATTGCTTCAGAGTGTGAACAGCTGACATCCCCAAGCCATCATCAGAGTGATATGCCATACTCTTCATGTGCCTTATACCTGGTTGTAGTTCATCAAAGTGAAAAGAATGGAAATGTAACTATTGCAAATCTCTCTTGAATGGTAGATTTATAATTTAGGAACAACCAGGCTTTCATGCTGAAGTTTTAATTCTTGTCCCCGCATGTTTCCCACCTGATTATATCTTCACACCCATTCTGTCATGTTTCTCAGAAGACCTAAGAGAACTGTGGAAGCAGTTTCATGTCCATTACTGAGACAGGATGGATGTTTGTTCTCTGAAAACCTGCCTTAGTTCTTTCTCTTGGGTCGGGGTAGTATTTGAGCTTGTGAGGATCTTTTCCCTGGCTTTTCAAGTTGTAGTGCTGATTGAGTTTTGATCTTTCCATCTGAACTTACCACCTTGTTTAGTTAACACATATGATCATCAAAACGGTGTTGATAAGGTAAAATATGCAATGCAGGCATATCCTGCTGAGATCCTTCGTACCAGAAAGAGAAGAGGGATGTGGGTTCCTAGAAGTTTGGGTTTGCTTATCTTCGAGAGAGTTCCTGCTTTTGCTTCTACTTGTGCAAGATACTTCTGGGGATAGGAACGCGGCCAGGTAAAAAGCAAGCAGCAAGCAGCAAAGCTTACCATTTTTGTTTGACTGCATCCTATTAATCACCTTCCAAGGAAGTGCTGGATAGACCTTGGGATCTTTCTTTAAAGCAGATTTGGCAGAGTTTTTTTGGTTCTTGCAAGGTGAACATCCAACAGAGGCTCTTATATATGTCATAAACCTTCTCCCTGCCTCTGTGGATATGCTTAGTTCTCAGGGCACAAAAATGTTGCAGATAAATTAGGTGGAGCCTAGGAGCCACTGAGTCACAGTGTAGCCCAGGTCAGTTCAGCTGGTGAGGGTTGGGCTTCTGGTTAGAACATGCTAGCATGAAATGTCTGTTTAAAGAAGGCAGTTCAGGCTGGGGATATGGCTCAGTAGATAAAGTGCTTGCAATGCAAATGTGAGGACCAGAGTTCGGATCCCCAGAACCCATATAAACACCAGCCAGGCATGGCTGTGGCCTGCAACCCCAGCTCTTGGGAGGCGGAGACTGGAGATCCTCAGGGCAAGCTGGCTAGCTAGACCAGCTAGAACCTGCAAGCTCCAGATTCAGCAAAAGCCGGTGCCTCAACAAATAGACAGTGATTGTAGAAGAACCCAATGTCAGTCTGTAACATCTACACACACCCACTTATGTCAGCCACCACACACAAACACTCATACACACATGCATGCACACCACACACATAACTAAAAATAAAGAACATTATCAACATTATCTGAGATGGATCTGTCATTTCTTCTATCCTCTTTTAATCTGCCCAGAGAATAACATTGAGACAACATGGCCCAGAAAACACTAGAGGCTTTGCAGACATGAGAAGAAATAATTTCTAAATGCCTAAGTCATCCTAAACTGTGTCTCTTTGGGAGCTCCAGGTGTTTGCCCCATCCCCTCAGCCTCTCAGGGTGCTCTGGCTCTTCACCCAGGACCAGCCAGTGCTCTGTGGGGAAGAGAACATGTGAGAGCTGCGGCACGCACATTGTGGAGGTATATCCTACTGAGGGCTGGGTTTATCAGAGGTATGGGGCCTGAGCCCCTCTTTGCAGGAGGGTTTCCTCAGACTCCTACCCTCCCTGTGTTCTAGGTGACAGGAGGCACAAGATGTCATTCCCTCACCCCCATGAGGGCTTCAAAAGGAAATCATACACACATCAGTGCATGCCGCTTACTTATCAGATCTTGCTGGGCAACTGGCAACTCTCCGTTCTTCTGATTCCTTGCTAGTAGCTCAGGCTTATTTCATAAAACATAGAATGATAGGTTCACTTCCTGTGCTAGTCAGTGACTGCAATGTCAGCCTTTAAATCACTTGTGCTAATTGTCTTCTTCCTACAGCTTAGCTTTCAAATTGAGTTTATCTAGCACTGTGGTAATGTTGCTTCAGATCCATCGAAGAACCACCAAAGTCCCCTCCCAATGTTTAGAAAGCAAATTGGTCCGTGGTGATGTGGAACTGTTAGAAGTAAGTGTGCCTTAAGTCCTGCTTTAGAGCCACAGGAGCTAGCTGAAAGGTTTGAAGTTGACTCTATAGGTTTGGGGGTTACCACTGAAGGAGTTGAAAGGGAGGACCAGATTTGCTTTTGAGAACCATCAGTCTAGCCACAATATAATGTCTGAACTGGAGAGAGCTGAGGCTGGAGAGGGGGATGAGACCACATGGGGTAAGGGTGACAGCCACAGTAGGCAGAGGACACAGAGAAGGGAGAAGAGTCAAGAGATTTTTGCAAGAGTTTTGGCAGAGACAGAAGTTTGTGGTGAAGGAGCTGTTCAGCATGTGCTGGACTGAAGATAAGTTGGAGTAGACATTGTGTTCTTATGATTCAGAGAGGCACAAGTGATTGAATGTGTATTGGGAGTGATATCTTGAAGGTCAGGTTGGGGACTGGAATGCAAACTCCAGGTGGAGTAGATGGGTTGTCCTTGGGAGTTGCTCTGTGCAGAGAGGAAAGCCTGACACCCAAGGTCATGGCGGGAGCAGGCGGGCAGCTTGTAAAGGGAACTCTGGGTCCTGTCTGAATCATGTTCTGCCTGTAAGTGCCTGAACTCGCTGCCTGACTTCTCCCTACTTCAGAAGCTCATGCACTCGCAGAGCTCCATCTTCTCTGGGCAGTCCCCAGAAGTGTGAGCTGGCAAGATGGGAGATGGCACCTCTGCGAACTCATCCTGCCTCGGGCCTTCTGACCAAGTGTCCAGAGAAGGGATGTGGTCTGTACCACGTATCAACCTCCTCTGAAGTTGTGGAAGAAGAAAGAAGCTCTGGTGTCTCCAGGGAAGGATTCCTGTCTGTGTTAGAGAGCTCCGACTCTTCTAACCAAATTCCTGCTTTCATTGCTTTTCCTGTCTTGTGGTTGGCCCACCCCAGCCTCTTCTCTGGTTGACCCTTTCGCTCCCCACTTAGCAAACTCCGCACAGTTCCTCCTGGAGGATGCAGTTTCCCGACATTGGAAGGTCTTTCCTCTAAACTACCAAAAAGCATTGGTGGTTGGCTGGTCAGTTTCCATTTTTCCAGATAGTGGCCTGTAAGGTGGAGTTGGCCTCAGGGCTCTGAAGCTGCTCTCAGCCTCTGTCTTCCTCCTCTCCGGCATGGCTCATCTACCTCCAAACCTCTACAAGAAGTCAGTCATAACATCAGGGCCTAGTTGGCACAGTCTGCATCATCTTTCTCACTGTGGTCTGGCCTGCTCCCCAATTCCCCAAGCTCCTTGGCTCCTCTCCTCCTGTGCCAGGTCTGCCCTTTGAACAGGGATGTCTCCTCCTCCCTCAATGCTTTCTCCCAATCTAGGCCCATCTTTGATCCTCTGGACCTCTTTCCCAAACACTGCTCCTCTCTACTGCGCATAGGTCCAACCCCTCCCACTGTCCTTAACCCTTTCCAGTCCCTCCCCTGCTCTCCCCTTTCCTCTCCTGGCGTTTACCCTGCAGAGCCTTTCAGAGCACGTGATCAGCTTCTACTTCTGGGTTCTACCTTGCACAGTAGATGTTTTACCCTCCAGCTGAAGACCCTGCTGCTTGAGGACTGGGTTGGACGTTCCTTACTTTCACTGCCATCCTCAACCCCTCATGGGGCTGACTTTGGATTCTTTGAAAGAAAACTAGGCACCAGAAGGCTCACACCATCCCATTGCAGGGGACCCCTGCTGTGTCCACAGAGGGTCCCAGCACATAAACTGTGCACATCATTGAGCCTAGCTGTCATGCTGTCCTCTTCTGGGAGGATGGGGTGCTAAGTTGATGAATACATGCAGTGTTGAGAGCAGCCTTGCCTGAGGTTGTTCTTTCCTTGCTGTTAATGTCACTCTCAGCCCTGCAACAGACCTGGGGTATATTTTTAGGCAGTTGTTTCATCCCAAGGCACAGCTTTGTCTTACTGGTGTGAATGGGGTTGGCCGTTACTCTCTTTTCAAACCTAAAGGTAATAATCTCCAGATGGAAACATGCCCCCAGCCCTTCTGTTAGTTTTTCATTTTTAAGCATCCTGGAGGTTGAGTTGGGTAAATCCTTGCAGTGTTTCTTTTTTAATTGGTTATTGGTAGTTTAATAAGCCTGGGCTGCACCTGTTCTGTTACTATGCTGCAGAAAATACATTGCGTGTAGAACAAAGGCGTGTTCACAACTTTGTATAAAGTGAATCTGTGGCATCACCATCTACTCAGTGGCATAAAGAGAAGTAAGGCTGCACAGATGCCCCTCAGCCTTATGGTGTTGGATATTGCTGTACCCATTGCTAGCTGAAAATATTCTCAAGGATAAAACATCTAGTCTACCCCCTGCTAAACATCTCAGCTTGGCCTGGGCTGTCTTCAACCATCTCAGAACACACACATCAGTTGGGCTGGCTAAGCATCTAAAATAGTGCCTATTTTATAATAGTGTATTGAGGACTCATAGAATTTATTGACTCTATACTGAAGGCAAAAAGCAGCTTGGTTGTGTGGGTATTCATTGTTGGGTGGTTAATATATGTTGAGGTACAGTTTTTACTGAATATGTTATCACCGTAAAAAGTTTAAAGAGCATAAATTGGGGGCTATCTTCATACCATGCTTCATACCATGAGGCATGTAAATCACATGTATAAATTGTCAATAACTACATTTTTGTGTGTGCTTCCACACATTCATGGGTAAGGTCATATATGTAATTGTGTTGCAGCATTTGAGTCTGCCAAGGTTTCCTGTCTTAATTTTGCCTGTCTATTAAGTCCATAGGTATGTAGATAACTTAGAACGTGTGAGCACATATTTAGAGAGGGAGGCCACAGAGCTCTGTGCTCCCCAAACATCGACAAGAGCTTACAGATGTGTCAGAGCTTGCCTTCACCCTGCATGAACAAAAGCATGTAGCCTTTATGAGTTAGCCCAGGATCTTGGAACTCTGTTAACAGTGTCTTGTTTTATCCCTCTGTCTACTGACCCCTGGTCTGATCCTTCTCTTTTTCCCCCCTCCTGTTCTCTTGCTTTCTGGGAAGAGAGAACCACAGTGAGATTGAGCGTCGCAGGCGGAACAAGATGACTCAGTACATTACAGAGCTCTCCGACATGGTCCCCACCTGCAGTGCACTAGCTCGGAAGCCAGACAAGCTCACCATCCTCCGAATGGCCGTCTCGCACATGAAGTCCATGAGGGGCACTGGAAACAAATCTACGGATGGTGCATACAAGCCTTCCTTCCTCACCGAGCAGGTGCCCTGTGCATCACTCCTCTTGTGACCAGTGGGAGGGGGGAACGCCATAGGGTCACTGCCCAAAATAAACTGCGTGGGGACGTGGACCTTGAGATTGAGGAAGGGATGAGGGCAAGGAATTTTGCTTCTGTTCTTCAGCAAGAGATGTTCTTCAAGAGTGGCAGAACATTCCATTTTCTACTCTGATGGCTCCCATGTACTTTAGTGAGAAATCATTAAAACAGGGTGCACATCTCAGCAGTGTGATGAGCATGCTGATATAGGAAGATGCCAGAAACCACAGTTCCTGTGTGTGAGGGTAGTGAGAAGATAGTCATCCCATGAGTCAGCAGCCGTGATGCCAATGATGGTTGGTCATGGTCTGATCTTTCTGTGCGGTTGATATACTTTGGTTGGCAAACTACTGCTCTTCATCCCTGTATTACACATGAGGCATTCAAGGCTCAGAGGCTTTGGGGTTGCCTGAGCCCCAATGCTGTGTTTTTATACCCATGCTACTTGGGTAGAAGAAATACGTGAAATAGCAGAATGATACTAGTAAACAGATTGACACTAGCCAGGAGGCCTGTGTTCTGAGTCCCTGTCCTTTCAGGTCTGGGGCAAAGGCCACATCCACCAGTGCTTGAAGCTTTTCGTTTGCATGTCTATGTGGTGAACGTGAAGTTTTGACTTTCTGACTTCTAGAGCTTCCTTAGGATGAATGAGGTGATGGATTTGGTGGAAAGGAAAGAGTTGAAATTACGTGATTATCAGCGATGTTAATTAGGAAGTGCAAAGTATTCAGCCTGTGGAATCTTGAGTAATGGAGTGTTTAATAAGACAGAGTGCAGAGCCAAAATGAAATCAAACAGAAGTGGCTGGGTTGCAGCAAGGATGTTGCTCAGGACAGAGACTGTGAAGAAGCCATAGAATGTGTACAAAAGAGGGGAGCAGAAGGACTTTTAAAGGGGACGCAGTGTATACAGAGCCCCAGAGGGAGAAGTGAAGAAGGTTCAATAGATCACTTGTTCCATTGGAGCAAAGAATCTGTTCATGTCGTGACAAGAATCTTAGAAGAACAAGGAAGAGGAACCAACATTACTGCCATCTGTTCTGTGGTAGATGTTTTAGCAGGGGCTTTACCCTATTGGTCCCTAAAACTGAGTACCACTCTATCTCCCAACTCCATGGATGTGGTGTGTATAGCCTGACTAGCCTGCGGATGTTAGCATAATGAAAGGTTAACAGTGAGACCTGACCCGATAGAAGTTTAGTAAGTACTACTAACAGGAGGGTCAGTAAAAAATTCTTTCCCTGCATTAATTTAATCCTTACACAAAGGACTCGAAGTAACTACAATGGGATGGAGAAAGAAGGCAGCTGCATATTCATGTGCTTCTCTCCTGGTCACATGGATGATGACATTAACATGTACATTTATAGAGCATTACTGTGTGCCAACCCTTACCAAGTCCATCACACACAGAGGCTCATTCAGCCTCCCCAAATTTCACTGAAAATAAAGCTTTGTGATATATTGAAAGCTGAGGACATTGATTATTATACCTGGAGTTGTGCAAAGTGGAAGGGCATGGATGTCAAGCCCTTTACGCCCAAACTCATACTGTCTGTCTTACTGGAGAAAAGAGGAAGGGCTGGCTCTGGAAGAACAGAGCCTCAATTCTGAGCAATGAGCTCCCAGATGATGAACCCCAGGAAGAGAGGACAGAAAGTGGATATTCTGATAAGGGTGGCTCTGTCCCAGAGGACCTTGATAGTCCTTGTAAACTGGGTGAAAACGTGCATGCATAAACAAAGCCACTTAACCTCCTCCAGTATACAAAATCTCCTTCCCCAGACACCTTGTTCGATTAAAATAAAAGTTCTCCTGTTGTGATCTTCCTGACACCAAGCATAAAATGCTGATAGTCTTAGAACCACATAAGCATCTAGGAGACACCGAGAAGCTGAAGTGCAGAGTATGGGAAATGGACAAAATAAATTTCCTTGAAAAACTGTTTGTGCAGTCTGCATCAGCACTAGTTTCCCAGGCTGAGGGTGATTGACTTCCTCCTCAACTAGTGCTGGGAAACAGTCACAAAGTTCCTATGTCATGCTCCCAGAAGCCTAACATCTTCTAGGCTTTGGACACTTGGACCCCCTTGGGCAATGGAAGGACACTCTGGCCAGAGGCTCCAGAGCCTGTCCTTCGCCTCCCTCAGTTGCCTCCGACTGTGTTGTATGGAAGAGGTTCCATTTGGCATTATATTTGAAGATTGGAGGTCCAGCAAAAAAAAAAAATGCTTGCCAGCTGCTGATCCCAAAGGATTCCTTTGTTCTTTGGGGTCTGGACAATGTGTGAGAAGGTTGGAGAGGTAGTCATGGACTCTGGTGCTTGTGGAAAGGTCGGCTCCTCACTTCCTACAGGCTTGGAGCCCAGTGAATTTATTTCGCTTGATGTGAAAAGACTAGGTAGTTATCACTGAGCTGCGTTTAGGCATGGACATTTCATGTCATCAGAGTTGATTTCCGCCTCATCTGTGTCCCTCTGGGGATGACAGCAAAGCTTCCTGCTGCCTTTCCTTGGATTCCAAGTAGTTTCTTTTCTGCCTTTAATGACAGTCACACTTCTGGTAAGCCTGTGTGCCCCCAGAGCCAATACACCAGCCTCTTCTCACTGTGAAGTGATATGGATAGTGCAGTGTGCCCCGTTGCTTCCCAGGTTACTCTCTCTGTTGAGATGATAGTGATGGCTGTAGGGTTCTAGAAACCCAACAGACATACAGAGGTAAAGGAATACCTTTAGATACAGTGTCAAATTCATCTGGAACATGCAGGAAGAGGAACAAGAGTGCACTGTTTCCACAGTGAGGAGATGCTTGGTCTCTTTCCTTTTCTTTCCTTCCCATTTTTCTTCCCTCCTGTCATCCAGGGCCCTTTCTGCCATGCACTGGGTCCCAGGCCCTTCTGCAGTATCATGATTGCAGTTTCAGAACATGAGGGAAGCTCCTCAGGTAAGCCACAACCCAACACCTCCTGATCATCATTTCCTGCTCTCCCATCTCCCTAGGCTGGAAATTCCACACACTAAGAAAGGACTAGTTAAGAAAGTGTGTCTTAACTGGGGATGGTGCAAGTTTTGTGCATTTTTATAGAAAATAAACTAAACGTGAGAAAGTACTCATTTACAAAACCACGTGTATACCACAATGAGCATCTGCACAGAAGAAATTGAGGATACTCATAAGAGAATCTAGTTGATCTGGGTGGTCAGTGTACTTGCTGACAGGGGCCTTTTCTTCCCAGGAACTGAAGCATCTTATTCTTGAAGCAGCTGATGGATTCTTGTTTGTGGTGGCGGCTGAGACAGGAAGAGTGATCTACGTGTCTGACTCTGTCACCCCTGTTCTGAACCAGCCACAGTCCGAGTGGTTTGGGAGTACCCTCTATGAACAGGTGCACCCAGACGATGTGGAGAAGCTGAGAGAACAGCTGTGCACTTCTGAAAACTCCATGACAGGTCAGTGTAGCTCCATTTGACCTTGGAAAATAGTTCTTTCAATAAAACAATGGGATGCTGGAGGTCATGAAAGTTAACAAACGGTAAGATAATTAGTTTATTTAGTTTGTATAATGGCTTCATTCACCCTATAACATCTTAGAAATCCATTTTTAATGTCACTTTTTTTCTGACATTTTCCTGTAATTAGTGCACATTGCCAGTAGGAGGTGCCATTGATGCGTTAGTCAGATCCACGTGCTCTCTTGACTTTGGTACTGATGTTGACACATATTATTACCCAGGCCTTCAATTGCTGAAATATAGTTCCTTATTGAAACATTTGGAAAAGTCAGCTCTGCCATAACATACACTTTTGTCAAAATCACCGCTCTGCACAAAAGAATGCGATACAATCTCTTTGAGAAAAGTGGATTGGGAGTACAACAACACTTAGTAGTTTGTCAGTAGCAGATAAGAGTTAAGTTGGAGCCTACCGAAGCTGTCAGCACAGCTTTAGATGGCACATGGTTAAGAAATTCACAAGTATTATCGAACAGGGTGCTTGTGCTTGCAAATGGCAAGTGTGCGGGGAAGTGGGTCTCGATGTTGTCACTCATGAAATGCTACAAGGACTGTCATGTAAATAGACAGAGAGCTTTAGCACCAAGTGTAGTTGGGCATGGCTTATAATGTGGTGAGCTGAGCGTGGTGGATGTCTGAGGTGTGCAAATGGTGTGTATACCTGTGTGGGTTTGGCTCAGTCAGGTGCAGTTTTCTGTGCTCACTTCTGTTCTCATGGATAAGCAAACACATGATGGACATTTTTCTTCCAGTTGTTCCCTAACATCTCAAACAGGAAAATTTATATTTATATAAAATTTATATTTTCATCAAAAAAATTATAGATGTGTTATGCTACAGTATTTGCATTCTTCTGTTTGTGAAAATACATTTGGGCTGTGTTTCTCCCTGATCATACTGCACACTGCTGGGTTCTCTTTCCTGTGTGGTACAATGCCTCAGTTCCAATGCTTGGCACATCCATGACACATGCTCTAGACTGTGTAACTTGAACAGTGGGAATTGATTTTCTCTTAGTTCTGGAGGCTGGAAGTTCAATCTCTTAGTCCATTTGGGATCTGCAATGAAATACAATAAACTATGCAGCTTTAAATATAGAAGTATTTCTCATAGCTCTAGAGATAAGCAAGTTTAAAGTCAAGCCATAAATAAGTTTGCTGTCTGATGAGGGCCCACTTTTTGGTTCATAAATGGCACCTTCTAGCTGTGTCCTCAGAATGTGAAAAGGACTACCTAACTCTCTGGGTCATTTTTTGTAAGGGTATTAGTCACAGTCATGAAGGGTCCACTCCCATGACCTAATACTATCACCTTAGGGATTAAGATGTTGTGCTGGATAGCTTTAGTATCAACTTGACACACCTGAGTTGAGGGAGCCTCAATTGGGGAATTGCCTTCATTGAACTGGACTGTCATGTCTGTAGGGCCTTCTTGATTGTTGAGTGATGTGGAAGGGCCCAGCCCACTGTGGGTGCTGCCACCCCTGGGAAGGTAGGCCTGTGTTGCATAAGAAAGCAGACTGAGCAGGGGCCAGGAGAGCAAGTCAGTAAGTAGTGATCCTCCATGGCCTGCGCTCCAGCTCCTGCCTCCAGGTTCCTGCCCTGAGTTCCTACCTTCGGCTCCCTGATGAACTATGACCTCTCCCACTCTTGATAAGACCAGTCAAATTAGGTTAGATTAGGAATCACCCGTTTTGTCCTAGTTACCTCCTACTGCTGTTATCAAGACACCGACCAAAACTAACTTGGGGAGGAAAGGATTTAGTTGGCTTACAGCTCGCAGTCCATCATCAAGGGAAGCCAAGGCAAGAACTCAGGGCAGGAGCCTGAAGCACAGACCATGGTGGAAAGCTGCTTCCTGTCTTGCTCCACTGGCCTGTGCTCAGCCTGCTTTCTCATACAACAGAGGACCACCTGCCAAGGGGTGGCACTGCCCACAGTGGGCTGGGCCCTCCCACATCACATATCAAGAAAATGCCCCAGAAACATGGCCATAGGCCAGTCCAATGGAGGAAATTCCTCAACTGAGGTTTCTTCCACCCAGGTGCATCAAGTTGACAACTAACACTATCCAGTGTGCATTTGACCTGGTTTATCTTAATTCCCTCTTTAAAGACCCTTCTTCAAATGCAGTTACATTCTAGGATTCTGAGAGCTAAGATTTCAACTTATGAATTTTTGATGGAGGGTCATAGTTCTACCTACCCAATAATTAGGATAAGACTCAGATGGCATCCAAACTGGCAGAAGTTCAGTCATTTCCCAAAAAACAGTAATTTTCCCAGTGCTGATGATCAGTATATTGTTAAGAAAGGATTTGTGGCTTATTCAACTCTGTGTCTCCCAAAAGTGTGGTGCATCACTTGGTAGTGAGCCTCCTGTGCTTGTAAAAGAACAGTGCAAACTCAGACTCACACTTACCTGCTGCTCTCTTCCCTGGGCTAAATGAAGTCTTAAGAAACACAGAGAATAAAGTTAAACACTTGGGGGAGCAGTAAAAAGGAAAACATGTCAACCAGGAAGTGTTGGTTTTAAAGCTGAAGTCACCTCCTCGGGAAAGAGCTGTTTTTCTCCAAACTTATGTATTTGACCACAGGATGTGGCTTCTTTAACCTCATCAGGAGATCCAGGTGGGGCAGACAACAGAGGAAGTGGCAGCCAAGGCAGGTCAGGCTCAGGCCAAGGGTGTCGCTAACTGGCTCACCAGAGTCTTGTGCACATTTCTGTTTGTGTGAAGTTTTCATGCAACTGGAAAAGTATAAAGGGCTCTGTGAGCCACATTTGGCTGGAAATGGCCTTGGAGGAGACATGACCAATAGCCACAGCAGCCAAAGCTAATGCAGTAGTTGGAGGGAGGGGTCCCCCCAAGATGCCAGAGGAGACCCAGTGAATGGTGGACAGCCAGATTTCTGAGCTCTTTCCAGCCAGGATTCTCTTGAAAAGGAGATGGGTTTGGAGATGTGGGTCTTGATCCTTAGGGTAGAAGAGGGCACAGGGTTTCTCAGAACCACAGAGTGAAATGAACTCTTCCAGGACACACAGCATGTAAACCTGTTGCAATGTGGGGAGACAGCTAGGAAGAGCTCCCTAAAGCAAAGTGCATGCAGATAAGCATGGGGTTCACTGGTTGTGAGGCCAGACTGGGAGCTGAAGAGCCAAATGTGCATTTAACACAATTTTTCATTAAAAAAAAGTCTTAGGGGTAATCTGGCACCTTTGATTGCTAGACTAGTACACAGTCCTCCTATCTCTGAACCTTTGTGGTTTGGGGTCAGAAATAAGTAAATATGGGCCACTTGGGTGAGTTAGGGTGGAGAGGTACTGGGACTTGGAGCCAGGCAAGGTCTGCTGGACTAGGGACAACTTATCTGGGGCAACATAAACTCATTTCCCAAAAGGGTCTCCCTCCTTTGAACCTTTCTCCCAGGGAGTGGTCTCATTCATTGTACTTTCAGAGTTGTCTATACTAACATGTGCTGTGTGTGGCAGTGGTGGAAGGCACAAAGAACTGAACAAAAGCAGGGTTTGCAGCCTGCCATGCTGGCCCAGGGACCCCAGGCAGTGATGTTTGTGTAGAGGTGTGGTACCAAATGGGGATGGTGGAGATCTTTGTTGAACTAAATCTTCCTGTAGCTATACAGGTGGCCACCAAGGATGGTAGGAAGACTCTTGGCAGCATCACAGTGGTGTGGGCTACTGCAGTGGTTTGGTCTGTCTGTGAATGAACATTAGAGTCTAATGCTATTGAGAGACAATGGATGGAGTCCTCACCTAGCAACAGCAATGTTGTACATAGAGATGGCCACAGAAAGAGGACTAGGAGCCACTCCTTTTTGTTCTGGTGTTTACTTTGTGGTCTTAGGACATTCCTTTATTTTTTTGACCCTCATTCTTATCACAACTCAGGAGATTCCTAAGGCTTCTTCCAGCTCTGATTTCATTCTCTCATCCAGGGTCACTGCATGGTATTTAATCCACTGGTTTAGAAGTGGTAGGAGGGGGCCAAAACCTGGAACAATAACAAGACAAGCAAATGCTGAGCATTGGGGCCCAGCTGAGCCCAGTTCCCGGGAACCCTCTGCTGATTGGTGGTGACACATGGGAAGGACAGTCTAGAATTACCTCATTGCTGTGACAAAATGCAGGCAAAAGTAGCTTAAAAAGGGGTTTATCCAAGCTCACACTTTGAGCATACAGTTCATTATAGCAGGGAAGTCACAGTGACCGGAGCATAAGATAGATCATACTGTGTCTGCGGGCAAGAGACAGAGATGAGGACTGGTGCTCCACCTCTTTTGCCTTTTGTTCAGTTCGGAGCCTCAGCCCATGGAATGGTGCCACTGACATTCAGGGAGTCTTCCCACTTCAGTCAACCCAACCTAGAAACTCTCACAGATAGGCCTAGAGGTGTGTTTCCTAGGTGATTCTAGATCCTGTCAAATTGACTGATGATCATGATCAACCATCATAGGCAACATGCTGGGAGCCAAACACAAAGTGTGCTGTTCTCCAGAACTGGAACTGGGGCACACTGAGCTGGACACTGGTGAGTGCTGTGCTGTGGCTCACCCACAGCCCCATTCCTTGCATTGCTTATTTTGGCAGGTGAAGGAGAGTTGTCATCTTAAGCTTAGTACCATTAGATAAAATCTAGAAAACCTGTGTACAAGCTGTACCTGGGAGGATCGGACTTTGTAGGGATTATCAAGATGTTGAGGACCTGAAATTCTAGAGGGTGTCTTCTGTGTCTTCTCCCAAGAGACCACCATGCTCATGTTGAAGAACAACTGTGGAACCAGCCCAGGTTCAAATGACCACCCCAACTACCTTTAGTGACAAAGAAATGTATTGGGTCATACAACTGAAATGGGTTTCTTGCTTCAGGTATGGAAGGACCCAGATGATCAAACACCACTAATACACCTAATCTTCATAGTA